TCTGCCTCACAGATTTGCTTATCTGAATTTTAGAAATCGGTAAAACGTCTGGTTCTCTAAAAATAACCCATGTGTTAGCAAACTGATTCCCACGGTTAATATCGGACAAAAAAATCAATTTTCAAGCGTGCCAAGATCTGTTTAGTAGACCCTGGAGGTAAGTTACCCTCCTTTCAAAGAGCACGCTCAGATGCACAATCGAAATCTAAGGCAGGTATTAGCTCGTATACATCGCAACGTATATTGTGGCTCAAATTTATGAGCACTTTGTTTGAGAAAGGAGGCGTGGACCAATTTTCTGCATGAAAAAGGACATTTCCTTGAAGAGGCCGAACGAGCGAGCAGAAGGCGCAATGGCTAAGGTGTCCAAAAATTCTCATATCAGTTTCTGTCATCAGTTTTTATGAGATAGGTCACGTACTGTATGTCCCTATGCTTATGCACACATTCGGGGGGCATTGTGATTTCCCTGCCGTAGACTCACGTGCACAGCAGATCAGGCCTGCCCCAATGGCCCAATCAGAGCAGATCGAGGAGTTCCACGTGATAGGACTTTTAGTTAAACACACCAGGATGATTACGAATCGATCTACGTGGTTTACCCCGGGTCAACGAGCTCCAGCTAATTTCTGCCGCTCCTACGATCGTCTGCAATGTCCCTGCTAATAGCCAGTTTAGCATGCTGTGGCTCAAAGGGAGGCTGCATAAAGAGCCAACGATATATGTGATCCTCGAATATCTGTGTATCGAATAATTATTTAACAATTCAAGTAGTGGGTGACGTTATTCACAAAAAATTTGTTTGGGAGACTTCGACTTCTGAGAAAGGCGTCCGTGCATGAACCCTTTGCTAGGTTCTTACGTGCAGTAAATGTTGGACCTTTTCTGATTAAATTTGCGCCATGGCGCACAACTTTATGACCACTCTTCTGTTCTATTTCCCTCCCACACGTCACCGAAAATCCCTTCCATTTGTTTTAGATACTCTTCCAGTTCTATGTCTTTCGCAGGCGCCAACAAAGCAATCTTATTCGAACCACGGAAGCGGAATCCACAGCTGTTTAGATCATCATCTAACCCTTCATTCTGCCTTTTCCCAGTGGACCGAACCCCCCCCCCCATTTTCCTCCCTCCTATTTTCAGAGTCTTACATTTTCGCTCAATTTCTATTTGCCTGGTGTTTTAACCACTTTACCATTTTAACTTTTTTTTCATTTTGCCATTGTAACCTGTCTTATTTGATTTATTTTTTTCATCAGCAAATTCTCTACAGTTGAAATCGGAGAACTGTAGTATTTGTACACTTAACCAACTGACATGTTAAGGGTTTGAGCTCTCAAAATTGGGACTGGAACTAGAACTGCAGACAACTCTTCCCACTGTGTAGCAGGCTCTCCAGCCGTCGGAGTAGGTTGCGGCCGTCCGTTTCTGAGGCTCCGACTTTGAGTGTGTCAGTTTCTTTTCATCTTGTAAAATTCACATCTTTCCAATTTCAGCTTTCTCTTTTGCAAAACTTGGCATTCTCTATTTCACTTTGTTTCACTGCATACATACTTTTCTATAAATATTCGACTCTAGTTCCTTTTTTGCCTTGCTTTCGCTAGCTGCAGTGCTGAATATGGTGCTCTCTCAGAGTCGCTGGCACTACGATTGTATGGTTCCATCTCGGCAGCGCCCTATCACACACGCATGCGCCAGTTCGACCGTCGGTTCCGACGATGTCCACCGTGTGTCCCACAGCAGGGTGGGCGTAGGGACGGTGACTTGCGCGTTAGTTAGTTTATAGTGATATTAGGCTTGCACAGCTCCTACCACGCTCGCTCCTCGTCCGTCTGGATCCGCTGTCAAGACAGAGTCGAGAAAACCAGAAGCGGAATCGGACGCAGGTGACTGGGACGGTCTGAACCCGCGCCTAGGCGTGCTACCACATTCCCTGGTTTACACACAAACGATCAGGAGTTAAAACAAGAGAAAGAGGGAGGGAGTCCCAAGTGAGTGGGATGGGGAGTTGGTAGTGCTGGAGATGGGGGGGTTTTCGTGTGTGCTGTGCGTGTCGATGTTGCGGTGGATACTCATATGGCCGAATGGGTCCACGTGGTGAATGGATGTGCGCTGTACGGGCAGTGGAGGTAGCTGTGACAAGTGTATGTGGGGACCCCTGGCATTGGTGCCCCGGTCTCGCTGCGGTAGATCCATAAGTGACCGGTTATGTCGATGTGTGAGGTGAAGGCGCAATCTTAATGAGGATAGGTTGGGATCGAGTCCACATTACTAGTGGTGGTGGTGAAGGGGGATGCCTGCCGGGAGTGCCATCGCCGATGATGGGGGTTGACGACGTCGGCCAGGACGTCAGGGCACCAGGAGTGTGATCAGCAGTGACGATGGTGGTGGTTGTTGTCGCGTGAGAATCGATCCAGGGGTGGCAATAGGGATGTTTTCGGAGGCTGCAAGTGGAGTTGTCAGGTGGTTGTTGCATTTGGTTCCGAGTTTTCCGACGAGGCCAATCCCTGCGTGGCATGTTTGTTGGTGGCGCGGGCATGTCGGAAGGGGTTGAGTGTCGGCGTTGTTGGCCGGAGGCGCTCGGAATTTGTGAGTAGCTCTTTTGACTTTGGCAGTGGCGATCCGGTTGGCTCTGTAGATTACTACTTCAGTCTTAACTGGTCTTCAGGCTCGCTGATCCTGGGCGAGGTCCTCCCAAATATCCGAGTTGATGTGTAGGCACTTGAGAGTTCTTCAAGGTGTCCTTGGGGCTTCTTCTTCTACTCCCTGTCGGCGAGCACCCGTAGCGACATCTCTGTAGAGGAGTCGCTTAGACAGACGCTCATTCATCCTCGCGAGGCGGCCGCTTCAGCTACGATGTTTATGCATCATAGTCTTGGGGGGCTCTAGCGTTCAGGTGTTAAATTGCTCTGACATGGAGGACGCCCGTCTCCGCTATCTTCACTTAAGGTGCAACAGTGACCTCTGATGAAATTTCAACTAAAATTGTGGAGAGCCTTTTCGACCGGAAATGATTACTTAAATGGGATTATAATGTAGTTTACTGTGCGGCGTAATCCCAAGATGTTGCGGCCACTTCAGGATGTTGGTTTTTGAATGCACGCCTTTCCGCCCTCGGGTAAAATCCACATGCGGTAGGGGTGACCACTTAAGGAGTATGGTTTTCTCCATCACTTTTCGATTCCCTTATAAATTCAAATATGTTTTATGGAAAGCATGCACAAAGTGTTCTTTTTTGTTCTCATTTGGTAGCAAATCACGTCTTCAAACTGTCT